GGAGCTTCAAATTACACACAATGATGAATGATGTGAATTACCAACACTTATTACGTCAACACAACTTATAAATTAATGTTTGCAAATTAAAATGTTTATCTAAATCAATTAACTCACATTTTTATCTTGCAACCATGCATTTAATTAAGTGGAATTGAAAGGTTGCCTGAATTCGTTTTTAGAGTGCAGTGTGGGTGAGCAAAAGGGGCCACAAAACATTCTCTTCATGTGGACTTCAAAAGATAGTCTGCATTTGTAAATGTGTGATTGAGCTCTTATTCTTCAAATCTTGACAAACCTATTTCTATCGTGTCAAAATAAATTGGCTCCATTGTGTTTCTTTACATCTTTGGGTGAAGAGAATACAAATGTATGTAATTCTGCTTTAACCTCACTTACCTTACTCTCCGCCCTTAACACTGATCTAGGATATGTGTGTTGAGAAAAGACAAAAGCACCTCCGTATCTGCACAAGACCTCGGAGGTGCCACAAGTGGGCGGGAAAACAATGACAGATTTCAGCAAGATTTTTCAACATGCCCTTAGATGTGTTGTTTAGAGACGATTCAGTGAAATGCGTCATCCTCTGACGTCCTTTCTCTTTCTCAGCTAAATTAATTCCCTTTGTCCATTTTGTTGTTCGGTCCGCCATCGCCTCTGTTATTTTGCTACAGGCAAAAATGAATAAAAGATGGGAAACGGGTTATGGATGAGCGGCAATGATTAAACAGACAGGGGGTAATGGTGCAGGAGTAATGGGTGATATATGAAAAGAAAGAGATGTGTTTAACAGCGTCACTTGGGGATCAAGAGCTAAAGATTTTGTGTTTTTTTCCATTTATTTTGAAATATATCATACCGAGGGCAGATATAACGGATAGTTTGTTACAGATGTATCTGTATTGGAGTATGTATTGGCAGACGAGTAACAAGTAAATGCAGTACAACAATGTAAATGAACGTTATGACACAGTATTGCCATTATGTTTTATTAAGTTCATATCTAGCCATGTCTGTAGTCCCTTTTGCTCCCGACGGAAATATTTCAACTTCTACAGTACCTTCTCGATTTGTAAAGCTTTGTATGGTTCCCAAAAAATGTACTGTTTCCTTAAGACTTGCGTGAGCCTCTGACTTTAGCATTAGCATAACCATTAGCTTGACACATGTGATGTTCAAATATCTTGACAACTATTGTTGTAAATATAAATGTTTTCAATATACGTTTTGACAGTATCATGTCAACATGTTAATGTTTTGTTAATGAACACACTATTAGCACTGCTAAGTAATGTAACATGCTAACGTGCTAAATTGAAATGGTCAACATGGTGTACAGAGGTTCATGTTTTTCATGTTTTTGAAATATGTAAAAATATTAGTTTTTTTTTTAATCAAAATATCAAATATCCGTTTTAAAATCAATCAATGTCAAACAAATGTCTCTATGATAAACATTGTTTATTGTAGTGCTGGCATCTGACACAAGCAGACAAACAACCTACAGTAGGTCAACCAGAGAGTGGACTTATTTTAAAATGCTCAAGTCAAAAAAAGGACTAGGAGCTAGAAATGGATTAGAATCCTGAAGCAACCTCCCAGCGTAATCCTCGTCATGTGGTGAAAGCTGAGAGATGGATGGAAAACCAAAGTCTGTCCTCCTTGCCCCCGGGTCATCAAAGTATCAGTGTGTGTGTGTACGTGTGTGTGACACCACACCAGACTGCACTGACACTGCACTGATCCGGCCTCTTTAAAATTCTGCAGAACGCTCAGGGAGTGATTTGACACAATTAAAGCCTGATGGGGTTTCAGAGGGAGGCAAACTCACTTTCAATCAGCATCACGTCACGAAAGTAAACAATTGCAATTGCAGTAATTAGTGTTTGTTTAACTTCAGCTTTGCTACACTTGACAGAAAAAAATCAAAGGAGACTCGTCACACATGACTGCCTTCTAGAGTTCGATCTGGTCCTTGTTATGCCTCTGAAACACTGGTCAATATCAAATGAAAACACAGTCTCTTTGATTTAAAGCTGTATTTGTGTTCTTTGACTTACAAATAGTCATTTCTCACCCTTTTCACTGCTGCCATGGGTGGGATGAGTGATGCTTCAATGAGTCAATGAGGTTAAGCTGCTGCAAGCATACCTTGTCAATGTCAATCAGTCTTGCAGAGGAGCCTTGAGCTGTAGTTCATGGCTTAGTGTAATCATGGCCTCAGCTAAAAACGAAAAATGATGCTTTAAGCTGCCAGTTTCACCTAGAGCGACAAAAAAAAAGAGCAGTCATGCTTTATGACCGATCCTTCACAGATTGGAGGCACCATTTGGTGGACACGCTGCAGCACCGGTTTGCAGGT